GGCTGGGACCTGGGCCCGGCGGGCACGGGTTTGGGTGCAGGTTAAATGGACACGGGGTTCTGTGACGCTTCAAACTGCCCGCCCGGCTGCCAGGCCCATCAAGCGGAGTCCTGCCTGGGTTTGCGGTGGTCAGAGGTGAGCTGGGGGCGTGTCCTGTCCTTGCCCCCATGCCCACCTGTCCAGACCTCCCAGAGCCCACTCCGTGACAGCCCCGCACCCCCGTGGAGAGGCTCGTGCGAACCCACGCACTTGGAGAAGCCCGGCTATGACCCTTACGAGAACGGGTTCCAGGCCCACCTCTGTGCCTCGGCCTCGTCACTGTGCCGTTTGCAGGGCGGGCCGGGCTCTCCTGACCTGCTCTGTGCAGCCGCCGCCCCTCCTGACCCCGCAGCCTTAGCCCTGCGTCGGCCCAGCCTCCCCCGCTCTTCAGAGAACGGTGCGCTTCTCCGAGCCCTGGGTCCCACAGAGGCTCTTTGGAGCGTTAACCCCCATAGGGGCCTGTCTCTGAAGACCCCTATGAAGCCCCTGTCACTTCCCCCTTCCCTGGAGGGATTTCCCCACATACCACACCTGGCGCGGGGGAGCCGAAGGTTCCGGGGTCTGCCACCCCACACAGACGCTCCCTTCGTTCCCGTCCCGACCCATCCTGATAGTCCTGAGGGTTCAGGGTATGCCCAGGGGTGAGCTGAGTCTGTTTGGGGAAATAAAGTGTGTGGTCCCCAAAGGTTAGCATTCAGGGTTTGCATACGGTGAGTTTCCTGCCGGGCGGGCCTCACGCGTGCTGGGACATAAGCTTGTGCCCACGGCTTGCGCAGGGCCCTGCTGGCGTCTGGGGCCTCTGTCATACCGCTTCCCCGCACGCCGGCTCTTTCGGAGGACTTGGTTTTTGCTTCACAGAGTTCGGACTTTTGTCCCTAACCCTGACATTTTGGCAGCGTTTCTCCTTCAAGGAGTCTTACCCATTCGGTGCTCCCCCGAGGCCTACGGCACGGTGGACGTGCATCTCAAAATCATGTGCAAGCACACACAATTTCAATCTGGAAGCTTCTGTGCGGTTTCGAAGTCTTCCACGTGACTCGAGCCCACAGTATTTTAGGAAAATGATAGTCTAGTCTAGACCGTTTTAATAACCCTGGACAAATATGTGCTCAGTTGTCATCTTGAACCTCTCACATCCAAGTTTATCTGCGTGTTCTATTATTTTTAGATTGTAGATGGGTCCCCAGCATCACAAAAATAGACACCGAAGTGATTGCAAAGGAATAGAACACGCCTACTATGAAATCTTAAACCTTTTCTATATTTAAAGCAGAAGGCTGTAATTACAGGCTGGCAGGAAGAAACTGCTAGAAGGGTTTAAAAATAGGGTGAAAGGAACATACTAAATGAATCAATATTTCTCTCTTTTTGTAAGTACAAAGCAGTTCGTAGAGACCTTTAAAACTTGGAAAGATCTGGCCGCGGTCGCCAGTCTCGGTTTCCACGTCCACTGCGGTGTCCGTGCTCTGAAGTGGCAGCAGCTGCTTTGGTCCTTTGTGACAGGCGTCCCGCTACGACGACGCCTTAAAGCAGCCGCGCTTAGAAACGTCCCGTTTCCCACCACGGTTCGGTTTCTTTCTTTCACAGACCACGTTTTGGTTACGGCCCTTTAATAGCTGTGACAGAGTGTGGGACCTGGAACGGGCTGGCGGTTCCCCCGGAAGCCCCATCGCCGACACGCGCGGGCTTGGAAGAGCCAGCAGTGTGGTCTGGGGGCGGAGGCGGCGCTGTGTGCGGTCAGGGGCCCGGCCTTCAGCCCTGCAACCTCTGCCTCAGCCTTCTGCTGCTTCACAAGGGTCCCCTGAGAATCGTAGGAGTGGGTATTTGTGAAGCATCGAAGCAGCGGTTTAGATCACAGCGATTGCTGGAAAGTGGCATCCGGGCCTGCGCGCTCAGCACACCCCGCGCCCCGGCCCCAGGGGCCCCGTCCGGCGCCCCTCCCCTTGCCCGCGCTGCTCTGCTTCTGGGTCGGGAGCACTTCGGAAGTCTGGTTTTGGATAGAGAGATGTCAAGTCAGTTTTTCTTCCTGCTTTAAAAAACAGAATAAAACCTCCATAAGCCAGTGACTCTGGGAATGAATGGCCCGAGGGAAAAAGGAAGCTTTCCGGAAGGCCCCCGACTGGAAAAGTTCCTTTAAGGCAGTTCGCCTGCAGTGCCTGTGCGTGCGTGTTTTATCGATAACGGCCGGGGGTGTGTGTGTGTGTGTTGGGGGGGACGGGGTGTGCTAATAACGTCTCAGTGTGCTAAAATCTGCTGTGCTTTCTGTGGCCGAGGCACTAACGACAAAGCTGTGTGTGTTGCAGTGGGGACCGGAAGATGGCTTTCCCGCTTCCTGCAGCGGAGGCCTGGGAGAAGAGGTGCTTTATGATAACGCGGTCCTGTACGATAACTTGCCGCCTCCGGAAATCTTTGCACGCTGCCCGCCGGCCGACAGAAAGGCTCCTAGGCTGTCTGCTGACAAACTGTCTTGTAACCATTACAAACACCCCGCCTCCTGTGCTCTGCCTTCCGCTCAGTCTGTCACTAACACCTCTTCTGTGGGGAGGGCGTCTCTCGGGCTCGGCTCCCAGGTACAGCATCGCATTCTGTCATATTCTAGAACGCTCTTTGAGTCACGGTCTTCCTGCCGAGTTTTGCAATGATACCAACTTGTAGTAAGCGAGACTCATCAAGGGTAAAGCATAATTTTTTTTTCCCCAGCTAGAATGTAATTTGCAAATGCAATCAACGTTCGGCCGCCCAGGAACTGATTAAATATTCCTAGCTGGTTAAAGGTTTAAGCACCGTATTTCTTTACCTGCATCTGGCTCTTCCAGTTCTCGGAAAATTCCCCAGAGAATTTTGTGACTTACGTCAACTAAACGCAAAGGCTTTTAGAAGGACGGGGACGATAATACTTTTCGGAAGATTCTCGGGCTGCAGGTACCCCTCGTGTCCCCGTTACGTGGCAGCGAGGCATGGTGGGCCCCGTGTGGCAGTCGCTTTGATCCGTAGATACCGAGGAGGGCTGTTCAGAGCACTCTGGTCCCTTTCCACAGTGGGTATAAAAACGTGCTCCCTAAAACCAGGTAGGTAATAAAGACTGTGGATGGTCACTGAGTGATAACTCACTTGGATACTGAACTATTATTCATCCCACACCCCATATTTAAGCAAATTGTAACATTTCAGCGTAAATACTAATTTTGTGTTTTCATGCGTTTTCAGCCTAAGAATTTTTTATACTTTGCCTAAAGATCTGTGCCCACCAGATCTGGGCTCAAAAAAGCAGATTTTCTTTTCCCTGTTTTTGGGGTAATCTTTTAAAAAATGACAAATGCCAAGGAAGACCCTAGCGGCTCTTCCCAACCGATTGGTTCAGTCAGAATCACATGGAAAGTTTGTTTGTTTTTGATTTTTCACTACAGTTGCTCAGATCCCAGCCCCGGAAAGTCCCTTGGGTGAGTCTGAGGGGCCCAGATCCGTGTGTGGTCAGACGTGGGAGCCATCAGCCTCCTGTTCTTTTTTTAAATACTTAAGTCAAACGTTTGGTAGGTCACTAAGCAAACAAGGGCTCAGAGAGTGTCGGTGACTCGCTCAGCAGCTCCTGAGTGGCGGGGCCAGAACTGGAAGCCAGATCTGTCTGCCTCCCACAGCCCAGGCTGGCCACGGAGGTCGCCGCAGCCTTTGCGCAGTGCGGGCCGGGGTCGCCCGGGTGAGCGTCCATCCCACAGCGAAGGTGCACGCGCATCACTTAAGCAAAATGCGGCGGCGTCACCTGCAGCCATCCAAGAAGTAGGGATGCGACTGAGCTTTTTAAAAACCTGTGGTTGGTCAAAATTTCGTTGACACTGTTTCAGACCCCGTCAGTGAAGCCACAGTTAGTGGTTTATCCCGTCACGACATCAGCATCAAAGTGCTGACAGCAGAACGTAGCTGCTCAGTCACGCCGCTCCCCACGGGCGTGCCACCGAAAGAAACGCCGTTTTTCTTCGGATGCGCAAACTTGCAGCGTCTCGGCCCAGCGCGCTCGGACGCGCCGCTGCCTGTGCCCGTGTCTCGACCGGCGTTGATGATCTCCCAGTCAGAACGTGCAACTTCTCCCGCATTCCGTCCGAGGTCCCCCCATGCTAGAACCTCTCAGGCAGGCCTGGGGACCCACAGCAGCCCAGGGTTGGGAATCAGATTGGTTTTCCGCTCCCCTCATGTTTTTGTTAGGCCAGGTGCTACTTCAAAGGTCAGAGACTGAAACAATTAACTGGAAGAAGAAAAGGTGTTTGGATCGTTTGTTTTTAATTTTTTCTCATATGTTTATTTCAACAGTTGAAGGGTAAAAAGCCCCCAGTAGCATCCAATGGGGTCGCAGGAAAAGGGAAGCCTCTGAACAGTCAGCAAAAAAAAGCTGATTCGGCCGCCAGCGTGAAGCGTACACCTTCAAGTAAGTTTGTCACTTGGTTTGTCGCGTTCTAGCTGTAGGTGTGGTTCGCAGAGCTGAGCTGTCTGAGCCACGTCTTCTCCTCCCCACTCAAGTAGAGAGGGCCAGGTTTGGGGTCAGTGGGGGAGAGAGCTGTGGCCGCGTCCCCCTTCCTCGTTTGCTGTGGGGAAGAGCAGTGACGCGTGTGACTTGGGTATGAAAGCGGAAAAGCTCCTTCGTCACCGTCACACTGGGTGAGCATGTTAAGTCTGAGGCGGCGGGAGGTGCAGGAGGCGGCGTGGCTGCGGGGGCCCTGGACTTTGGGTCCGGGGACCTCGGTTTGTGTCCCCGATCTGTTGGTGACTGACTTAGCGACTTCAGTCGAGTCACGTAACCAATCTAAACGCAGCTTCCATATGTGAAATGTGGCTGTGGTGATTTCTGTGATGAATAATTCAGGTAATAAGGGGCCTCAGAGGGCTGGCGAATACGAGGATTTCGGGGGAGCCCTGGCCCGCGGTGCCTCGTCGTCTACACGCGCTGTCGTCCCGTCCTCCTGCCTCCGAGGGCAGGCGGCGGCGTCTCCTCCAGTGTACACATGTGGAAGTGATCCCGGAGCCATTCGTGGCTCCCCGCGGCTCGCTGCTGCTGACTAACAGAGCCAGAGTGAGGCCCAGGCCTTCCGACTCCGGAGCCGGCGGGGGACAGCTGAGCAGAGGAGCCACGAGACCTACGTGGGGGACTCAGCCCGCCCGAGCCCTCCGCATCTCCCGTGTCCCCAGGCGGACAGACCTAGGCGGCGCTGTTAACAGATGCGTCCGTGTCTCTTCAGCCCTGATGATGCGGGGCACCTTGTCACTCAGCAGCCAAGTGACACGTGTTTGTCCGAGGCGTTCTGCTTGTTGCCAGGCCGTGAAGACGGGACAGGACTGTTGCCACCAGGCGTGTCAGTTGGGCAGTACGTGGCAGATGCCAAGTGGACGGGCTGCGGCAGGGCCCTCCCAGGCGTGCGGGCCGGCAGGGAGGTGCCCGGGACCGGCCTGTGCGAGTTAGACACCGCAGCGAGTGTGACGGTAACTGGGAGGCGTGTCTGGTCGCTGAGCCTGGCTCCGTGCAGCTGGCAGACCGGTCTGCATGGGCATGAAGGTGAGGCCAGCTCCAGCCAGTGCCCTCCACACTTCCTAGGTGACCTCCGTGTGCCCTGTGATTTAATTTCTCAGTTAAGGGGCACGGGGAGGGCAGGCTGGCCTCGTCCGTGGTGGGATACGTGGACCAGCCACGGAGCTGCTCAGCAGTCTAGGCTGCTTCTGTCCCGAGGGAACGTGTGTGCCCGTCCCTTCCGCTGCTGTCCGCGGATGGGCCTTTGGGCATCTGGTCGGAAGCCGACCGGGCCAAGCCCTCGTCTTCGTGATTGGTGTCACGTGGTGACTTCCCGTGGCCTTATCTTTCTGGCGAATCCTGCTTCCCTGTGCAGTCGGCTGTGTTTTATTCACTGAATACGTCAGTGTCCTCGGGGGCGGGGAACAACAGTGCTTTGTCCAGCAAGACACGAACCACGTGAAGTTCTCGGTACCCGGGCCGGTTTTGTTGCCTAGATGATTTATTCCTTTATTTTTATGAGACTTTCTGGAGGGGATTTTTATTAACTGTGGTGACATCTAATGGTGACAAAAAAAATAATTGCATTGTGTTTTTGCTGAATTCAGCCAGTTGCATCACAGACTGGATGGGGTTTACTGCATGGGGACCAAACGACAGGGAAATTTATAGGTTGTTGCTTACAGGTTTGTCGGGGAAACGTCTTCGTTTAGAAATGCGTGACTAGAGTTCGGGCTTCGCTCCGTTTGCCAACCGTGCCCTGACCCTGAGCCGTGCGGGGCAGTGCTTTCGTTCCCGTTGCTGGCTCGGTCGTGTCGTGCTGTAGTCCTCTGTCATCCACGCGTGTGTGGTGTCCCTTGGCGAGGGCACTGCTGAGCCGGGAGTGATGCCTTGCACCTGCCTTCAGCAGCCCAGCATTCCGTTACGACCGCTGCGGTTTGCGCGGCAAGAATTGATAAATCGGGCACTTCAGAGGCGCTATAAATGGTCCCCGTTGCCTCAAGTGGACAGCCCTGGGGACTGCACGACCGCTGGCAGTGGTTAGAGCTTCCAGGGAGCGTGCCCCGCGTCCCAGGCATCACGCGGTTTTGTGAGATGGGTTTTAGGTACACGTATTGAATTTTTTAAAACGCCCACGAGGTGAGCCTTATGGCGTCTGCGTCGTAGCGGGCGCAGCGGAGGTGCAGGCACAGGAATAGCTTGCCTAGCGTCAGGGCTGCCTCCCCGCTCCCCGGGCCGCCCGCCACGTCCCCTTCGCAGGCGGCCAGTCCAGTCGAGGAGGCGGACGTGCCGATAAGCAGTCGGCGGGGGAGCTCGGGCTGACGGGCCGTGTGGATGCCCGAGTCCTCTGAGCGGCAGTCGGGTCTCCGCGCTCAGTTGTCGGCGGCCGTGGGGCCGTGAGGCCTCGACAGCGGAGTCCCAGGCCCGCCTCGTGGCCTGCTCCATCTCCTCCTCTCTTCACTGTATTTTTCCAAGGCGGCTTTTTCTAAATTAAAATTGTCAAAGGCCAGCGGAATTATAGTAAAAGAACACGGGCTCAGGGTCCAGATGCCAGATGAACTAGTGCCGCGGCCGTGGCCACGTCCTACATTTTCCCTGAGACCAGTTTCCTCTTCGCCTACTCCCTCCCTCACTCATTCATTCATTCACTCATTCATTCACTCACTCATTCACTCCCTCCCTCACTCCCTCATTCACTCCCTCACTCCCTCACTCCCTCCCTCACTCATTCACTACTTCCTCCCTCCCTCCCTCATTCTTTCCTTCCTTCCTTTCAGCAGAATATGGCAAAAGAGAAAGTCTTAATGGAGCAAATGAGGGTAGTATGTATACTATGGCATGCTGATGTGTGGCTTCTTATCTGATGGGAGCAATGCTGTGAAGAACAAAGTCGAGGCAGCAGGCCTCACCTAGAGTTTGGTTTGGGGCCTTCGTTGTATCCAGTCAGCAATGGCAGGAATCGCTTGGACTTTCTTCCGTAATGTCACCAGCCTGGGATGGATGTCCAGCAAGTCAGGTTTAAAGACTAAAAGTGTAGTACTGCAAATTTCCCAGTAGAAATCTGCCCAAGTTACCTAT